CTTGGGCCCTTTGCCCCAGGGTCATGCCTTGAACAATTTTTAATCTTCAACATATCCTGATCCTTGTATGTAAGTTTGGTGAAAATATGCCTGGTGGTTCTGGAGAAGAAGATTTTTTAGCAACTAGTACTTTTGGTTTTGTTTTAATTAATATATCCCCTTGTTTTAGGGTCCCAACCCTTATTTTATATAAAAATTGGGCCAAGGATACCCTGTGACAAATTTGGTACTGATTGGCCAAAAGTTATGGCCCATATACTAAAAAATCACACCGCACACCGCACAAATGGCCATAGCATTAGCTCTTTGAGCCTTTGGCTCAGAAGAGCTAAAAATAGAAGTAAGGTCACTCAACCCCAGATTTAAAAAGAAGGAAAACTGGAGGGGGGGGGTTAATACCTGTGTATTTTTTTTTATAAAAGCTTCTTCAAAACGTGATGGAACAAAAACTAGAGAGATGTTTATGCAATTGATGAACACCATTCTTTCGAACTACTTATCATTATCATTCTAATACAGTAAAATCACATATTTTCGTGGGGTCAAAGTTTCGTAGTTTGAGGAAAAAATGTTGGTTCGTGGGGATTTGATTTCGTGGATTAAGAACTTTTTAGAAGTTGTGTACATGAAATTTTACATTTCGTGGAAGGCATGAATTCGTGGGTCTCTTCATACCTCGAAAACAACGAAAATTAGTAATTTCACAGTATAAGTATCAGTAATTTTATGTTTTCTTCGATCGTCTACTTCCTATTCTATTAATAGTTTAGTTCAATTCAATGCCTTCTATAACCTTGTTAGACAGCGGAGCATCAACTGGCAAGACTGGAAATATACAGCTTTTTTTCATTTCCAGATGGTTCTGTTTTATGATAGACAATAATATCGGTGAGTACAATTCGACACGGACGTCTGAGAAAACTTTAAATTAAAATTCAAGTTTGAAGTTGATTTTCAATCCATCTAAGTTTATTACATACGCAAAGTGTTATTCTAAAATTAAATGAAATTTAATTAATTTATATTTACATTTGCTATGTTTTTTTCTACTTTTTTCTACTTTGCCAGGCGTGAAATTGATTTGAATACCATTTTCGAGTATACCAACGCGTAGAAATATACAGGGAGAAAATTGAGCTTATGTGACCATGGTGACCTTACAATGAGGCTACAGAGACGTGAGTGAAAATATAACGATACAAGGAAGCAAGAAATTCAAATATTGCGTATATTTTTGGAGCTTTTAGACATGTAAAATGTAAATGTAAGGAATGCGTTTAGGTTTACGTATTGTGAATTATCAATTGATGTGTAAATCACACAGACTAGCACATTGGCATACATATTTTGTATGAAATATACCCACTTGACAAGCCTGTGTGATTTACACAACAATAACTCACAAAAATCTTTAAAAATTTCCTTTTAAAAATAGTTACTTTTACGATGACAAGAGAATTTGGTAATTCCTTCTTCACTGAAAAATGGTTGACAGGTAATTAAAGAAGGGTGTCCAAAATCAAGAATATTCCTGATTGTTTTTAACAAATAAATTTTTGACAAACTAGATTCCTTCAGCTTTTCTATCATAAACCCTAATTATGAATTGATGCTGTAATATTCCACTTTCTTCTGCATTTCGTCATGATCGTGTTTATCTTTCCAAACTCTACTAAAGAGTCTGCTCTCAGTGCGATCGATTCTCAAGTGAAGCGGGCTATTTACTATTAAGTTCATGTTACAGGGATTTCAACTGCATTGTTTACAGTCAGCATTTCGTAGGTTCTATGGTTATTAAAATGACCTTTTCAGCAAATACAATCTTAGATATCATTGGGTCTTTTTTCGTTGACCAATTTCTACATACGCCTCTATACTCAATTGGCTGGATAATTCCGTCAATACGCACTGTAGGATTCACGGCGGGTGTGACCTGTCATCAGTATAAGTTTACTCCTCCTAGGCACCTAATCCCACCTTTGGTACTTCTTGGGGTCCGTGTTTTATTCTCTATAAACGTAACAAATACGTATTTGTGTTTATGGATTTTTTTTAAGATCCGATCATAATTTTTGTTAGTTATAGATACGAGCCCACCATTTTCAAAATCATTACCTAGAAAACTCTTATTTCTATATACAAATGTCTAACTATTACAAAATTGACAGTATTTGTCTCCCGAATCAATCATAATGGTTAATACTGTGCATATGAGAGTACTTGAGGTGGGTTGAAATTGAATTCAATTTCTCTTTTTTTCAGACTCCCGCGCCGAATTGTACCTACCTATAGATTTCATGTGTATCATCTAATGTTTTTTTATTTACTCTAATGAATAAGAAATATTTAGAATCTTGCCTTTTAGTGCTCTGTGGTCTTAATTAAGATAAAGTTGTTTATTTGAATATATCAAACTTCCAAATAGTTTTATATCTTATTTCCCAAAATAGGAGATTTGTGTATCACTGGAGTACAATTTTTAATAGAATACAGATGTAGGTGATTTTAAACATCATACGAAAACATAACTATGAACATTGAACCAGAAAATATACTTCAGCTCATGACTGGAGTTATACATTTATATATATATATATAATATATATATATATATATATATATATATATATATATATATATATATATATATATATATATATATATATATATACTGTAAAGAACGTGATTTTTTAGAAGCATAACATACCCCCACCCAAGTAATAAATAAATAAACTAATTCAATCCTTTTGTATCCAACTGAGTATCCAGATAGATTTATAAATTATAGTGAGAAATCATGAGAAATCATAAATGAAGAGAAATAACTTCTTTAATTCTTTCAGTACAGATTTGGCTCATCTCGAGTAAAAATATAAAGTAGTTTTTAAGGAAAGGTATATAAGTATGTAAAGTAACAACTGTACCCAGTGTGCTTTTATCATTTGAAATATTGAAAATTAATTTTATTTGCATCTGAAATCAGTAATGTAAATAAAATTACGTTGTATTTTTATAAAAATTATAATTAAAAGAATAAACTTAGAGATGTGAAGTGTTCATTATAAATTGAAAAAAAAAGGAAAATGGAATACGACGATACAATTCTCTGATAACTACATTATGTCTTATATATACATGCACAATCTCGTATATCTTTATGAATGAAGAACTTAGAGTACACATGCCCATTTTCCGAAGTTCCAAATCGTGGATGTTGTGGATTTTTTAAAACCTGCAGTATAATGTTTCTGACACAAAAATACGCACTGTAGGATTCACGGCGGATATGACCTGTCATCAGTATAAGTTTACTCCTCCTAGGCACCTAATCCCACCTTTGGTACTTCTTGGGATCCGTGTTTTATTCTCTATAAACGTAACAAATACGTATTTGTTTTTATGAATTTTTTTAAGATCCGATCATAATTTTTGTTAGTTATAGATACGAGCCCACCATTTTCAAAATCATTACCTAGAAAACTCTTATTTCTATATACAAATGTCTAACTATTACAAACTTGACAGTATTTGTCTCCCGAATCAATCATAATGGTTAATACTGTGCATATGAGAGTACTTGAGGTGGGTTGAAATTGAATTCAATTTCTCTTTTTTTCAGACTCCCGCGCCGAATTGTACCTACCTATAGATTTCATGTGTATCATCTAATGTTTTTTTATTTACTCTAATGAATAAGAAATATTTAGAATCTTGCCTTTTAGTGCTCTGTGGTCTTAATTAAGATAAAGTTGTTTATTTGAATATATCAAACTTCCAAATAGTTTTATATCTTATTTCCCAAAATAGGAGATTTGTGTATCACTGGAGTACAATTTTTAATAGAATACAGATGTAGGTGATTTTAAACATCATGAAAACATAACTATGAACATTGAACCAGAAAATATACTTCAGCTCATGACTGGAGTTATACATTTATATATATATATATATATATATATATATATATATATATATATATATATATATATATATATATATATATAATCTTTTCTAATAATGAGCTAATTTGCGTACAAATATAGAAAACAACCACTGTTACCCCTACTTTTGCTGTTTGAATTTGGATCAAAATCAGGGGGTTTGTCACATATTGGTATCCCTTACATACCAAAGACTGTAAAGAACGTGATTTTTCAGAAGCATAACATACCCCCACCCAAGTAATAAATAAATAAACTAATTCAATCCTTTTGTATCCAACTGAGTATCCAGATAGATTTATAAATTATAGTGAAAAATCATGAGAAATCATAAATGAAGAGAAATAACTTATTTAATTCTTTCAATACAGAGTTGGCTCATCTCGAGTAAAAATATAAAGTAGTTTTTAAGGAAAGGTATATAAGTATGTAAAGTAACAACTGTACCCAGTGTGCTTTTATCATTTGAAATATTGAAATTTTATTTGCATCTGAAATCAGTAATGTAAATAAAATTACGTTGTATTTTTATAAAAATTATGATTAAAAGAATAAACTTAGAGATGTGAAGTGTTCATTATAAAGTGAAAAAAAAAAAGGAAAATGGAATACGACGATACAATTCTCTGATAACTACATTATGTCTTATATATACATGCACAATCTCGTATATCTTAATGAATGAAGAACTTAGAGTACACATGCCCATTTTCCGAAGTTCCAAATCGTGGATGTTGTGGATTTTTAAAAACCTGCAGTATAATGTTTCTGACACAAAAATTTCCAAAAGGGTTCGCTTTTTTATGCCCCCATCGTTGGACATTCGTTTGTTTAAAGAATTTAGTACATATATATTTCATCTGATTTTTTCGCAACACTTTTAAGCTTTGTCAGAATTTTGACGCCAAGGCTTTCATACTTCACAAGATGCCTTGAGACAAGACCATTCTTTGTGTACAAAAAATTTTAACTTCAAAACCTTTGCCCTGAAGTTTGACCTAGCTAGATCCGATGAGTTTGATTAACCCTGTGCTGCCATATTGGGTCATCAGTTCATCAGTGTTTACCATTTAATTTTATTCTTGAGGAATGTATTTTGTAAACTAAATACATAGAGGTATGTTGTTAAATATAATATCAATATACATAAGTATTACATTATTCACATTCATGAATCTGGATCTATCATAATGTTCCAAAATCAAGGATTATAACAATTTTTTCAATGCCATCCTGTTTTGAACATGGATCATAATCTGGAGTTCTCGATTGTGAAAGCATCGTTGACATGAACTTCTTTGGAAATTTCTAAGTCTTTCCTTTCCTGGCCGTTGCACCCATGCAGAATATTTTTGCAAACTCTTGTAGAGAAAACGCGGTCGTATATGAAAGCACCCAGTGCTCCTCCTATCATAGGTCCAGCCCAATATATCTGTTGGTGAGATTCTTACATTTTACCAATCCAATCAAAATTTCAGATAATTAAGGCATACATTTATACTGACACGCAAAAGAAACGCAACAAGCAGTAGTCTACAAATGTTTGATTTTTTATCTTATGATTTTTAAAAGCGAATAAAGTAAGGCTAAACTCACTTTTCAGAAGATCAGAGATTCGATAAAAATGTTAAATGTTTATCTTTTAACTTTACTAAGTAACGTATGACTGTTAAAGCACCCCCACCCAGCCATTCAAGTAAAACGTGCAAGATTGTCCTAAACAACAATTGCACCTTAATTTCTACGATACAATAGGTTCATTAATATCGAGATCTGAGCGAACGAAATATTATTCTTTCGCATTTTTAAATGCCCGTTTTTCAGATGATTAGGTCGAATTTTCTCTAACTTAGAGCAGTGTAGCCACCCTTGGACTTCCGGTACAAGGACTGTACTTAATGCATCTGATACGTAAGACCCTGTTGAGGTGTAATGTAGTAAAATTTCGTATCAGCAACTCTCCATCACATTAACAGTGAAATTTTCCAGCAAGAGCACTGGAAATGCGTACATAAGCCATTTTCAAGTAGCCTTAGCATCGTTGCGGGAAAAGAAAGGAGATCGAGTTTATTTTTTGAAATTTTGCTGCATTACTTATGATGAGCAGTAAAAAACCTTTAAAACTCCATAATATTGGCAAATGTTTTGTTAAACATGCAATTTTTGATTTCTGTTAAGCAGACTCAAACTTGACTTCCGGTTATGGTATGGAATTCGTTCAACCGTTAAATTACCGATATTTACCAAATTGAAGATATTCATAGGTTTAAGTTACAAAATCCTTTACTTTACATAATTATTTCCCCCTAAAGTAGGGTGTTGCGTTTCTTTTGCGTGTCAGTATATAATATTGCATTTGTGTATGTATGTTATATGAACTGCATTTGTGTAGGCCTTATCTCTCTTAAAATGTTAAAAAAAAAGTCCTTTCTGAAAAAGAAAATCAAAATGCGAATACAAAATTAATGTACTTTTATCTATCAAAGTAATGTCATAGACTGATCCCTGTTCAATAATTTATACTAAATATAGAAAATATTTCAAATTAAGATTTTAGAATCACCTGATCGCTTCCTTAATGCATTTTGATATGAATGTTAATGTCAAATTAATGCACAATAATGAAAATTTGGAAGAAATATCTTTAAGTATCATACCCATGCTTTATCATATGTTGCATTGATAACCATTGGACCGAAGTTTCTCGCAGGATTCATGCAGCCTCCTGACAGATTCCACTAAAATTGAAAAGAAATGTAATCATTTTGTATTTTTTATAATTATGTATATACTTAATAGATTGGCAAAATGCCAAAAATAGTAACTGTAATCATTTTTTTTAAGAAGAGAACAAAAAAAAAAAAAAAAGATATTTACATTTCTCATCATTATATTTGATATTTTTTTAAATTGAAAAGTTTAGGATGTTTTTAATTTTTCTTTAAATCAGTTTAGGTGTTTTATAATTGTATTATATTAAATCAGTTCAATTTCTTGATAAGTTTATGCTAGATGTACCATTCTAGCAAAAATTAATTTCATGTAACGTTGTAATGATTCGTATAACAATTCAAAGAAAATGATTTTCTTAGTGCAATGCTGTAACTTGCTTTTGGAATTCCAGTTTTTATTTTTTTTTTTAAATTGATGTATTTTTTGGATTTTACTCAATTATAGCATTGTTAAACAGATTTTCCATTATATATTTTTTTTAATCAGCAACAGATATATATACGAGAATGGATTCACTTACTAAGTTGGACACAATTTTATGTCTAAAAGTTTCTCGATGTATTTAACTCGCAAAAATTTAGTCCTATGTAAAATCCTGCAAGATTTGAATTATTTACATTGATAAGGAAACATTGTTTGTTCTTGATAGTTTTAAACTCGGAAAAAATCAATTCATACACGCACGTGAACGTTTACTATCTTTATCAAAATATTTCAAATGTTCGATTAATCAATTATTACTAAGCTTTCTTAAAGATGACCCGAACTGCATCAATATTTAAGATCAATCAAAACAGGTCATGAACTTTGTATTTTAGAGATATCTCCTTTTGAGATTTAAAGTTTAAACGAGATGAGTGCTTGCATATTTGTATCACTATAACAAGAGGCCCAGGGGCCACAGCGCTCACCTGAGCACATCGGGCTTGAATTTATCCCCCCCTCCAGGCGTTCATCATTTGAACAAATTAGAATCTACACTACCTGAGGATGATTCCATATAAATATCACTAATCATAGCTTTGAAGTACTTGAAAAGAAGATTCTAAAAATTCTCCCTATATATCCCTATGTAAAACTTGGGTCGGCCATTTTGGCCCCACCCTAGCCCCGGGGGTCATGATTTGAACAAACTTGAATCTACACTACCTGAGGATGATTCCACATGAGTTTCATCTTTCCTGGACCAGTGGTTCTCGAAAAGAAGATTTTTAAAGAATTTTCCTATATATATATATATATATATATATATATATATATATATATATATATCCTATATATATATATATATATATATATAAGATTTTTAAAGATTTTTCCTATATATTCCTATGTAAAACAAGGGTCGGCCATTTTATCCTAGCCCCGGGGGTCATATTTGAACAAATGAATCTACACTACCTGAGGATGATTCCACATGAGTTTCATCTTTCCTGGACCAGTGGTTCTCGAGAAGAAGATTTTTAAAGATTTTTCTAATATATTCCTATGTAAAACAAGGGTCGGCCATTTTGGCCCCACCCTAGCCCCGGGGGTCATGATTTGAACAAACTTGAATCTACACTACCTGAGGATGATTCCACATGAGTTTCATCTTTCCTGGCCCAGTGGTTCTCGAGAAGAAGATTTTTAAAGAATTTTCCTATATATTCCTATGTAAAACAAGGGTCGGCCAGTTTGGCCCCACCCTTGCCCCAGGGGTCATGATTTGAACAAACTTGCATCTACACTACCTGAGGATGATTCCACATGAGTTTCATCTTTCCTGGCCTAGTGGTTCTGGAGAAGAAGATTTTTAAAGATTTTTCTAATATATTCCTATGTAAAACTTGGGTCGGCCATTTTGGCCCCATCCTTGCCCCGGGGGTCATGATTTGAACAAACTTGAATCTACACTACCTGAGGATGATTCCGCATGAGTTTAATCTTTCCTGGCCCAGTGGTTCTGGAGAAGAAGATTTTTAAAGATTTTTCCTATATATTCCTATGTAAAAATTGGGTCGGCCATTTTGGCCCCACCCAAGCCCCGGGGGTCATGATATGAACAAACTTGAATCTACACTACCTGAGGATGATTCCACATGAGTTTCATCTTTCCTGGCCCAGTGGTTCTGGAGAAGAAGATTTTTAAAGATTTTTCCTATATATTCCTATGTAAAACTTGGGTCGGCCATTTTGGCCCCACCCTTACCCCGGGGGTCATGATATGAACAAACTTGAATCTACACTACCTGAGGATGATTCCACATGAGTTTCATCTTTCCTGGCCCAGTGGTTCTGGAAAAGAAGATTTTTAAAGATTTTTCCTATATATTCCTATGTAAAACAAGGGTCGGCCATTTTGGCCCCACCCTTGTCCCGGGGGTCATGATATGAACAAACTTGAATCTACACTACCTGAGGATGCTTCCACATGAGTTTCATCTTTCCTGGCCCAGCGGTTCTGGAGAAGAAGATTTTTTAAAAATGCCATTAATTTTTAACAAATTCATGATTATCTCCCCTTGGAAAAGGGCGCGACCCTTCATTTGAACAAACTTGAATCCCCTTTACCCAAGGATACTCTGTGCCAAGTTTGGTTGAAATTGGCCCAGTGGTTCTTGAGGAGAAGATGAAAATGTGAAAAGTTTACAACGACGACAACAACAACGACGACGACAACGACAACGACAGACGACGGACAAATTTTGATCAGAAAAGCTCACTTGAGCCTTCGGCTCAGGTGAGCTAATAAAGAAAACTGACTACACTGTACATTATATGTGTTCAAATAAAAACCTAAGCTCGAAGTTCAATACATATGATTTACTGTCATTGTGTCAATTTTTTTTTTGAATTATATTAAAATGGATTTACCACTACGGTGAAAAAAGTCATTCCAACGTATCAGCATATAATGTTAAATTATCGATATCAGCATATAATGTTAAAGTGTCGATATCAGCATATAATCTTCAATCATGTCAGCATATAATGTTAAAGTATCGATATTAGCATATAATGTTAAATTATGTCAGCATATAATGTTAAAGTATCGATATCAGCATATATTGTTAAAGTATCGATATCAGCATATAATTTTAAAGTATTAGCATATAATGTTGAAGTATCAGCATATTATGTTAACGTATCAGCATATTATATTAAAGTATCAGTATATTATGTTGAAATATCAACAAATACTTATGAATGTTCGCCACATTTGATACACATACATGTACATGTAGACATTGCCTTTCATATGAGGATTATATGTGGCTCATATGAGAATCTTATTTATATACAATCATATGATTATCATATGAGGCAAATCATGTGTGGATTATATGAATTCACGTATGAAATTAAAATCATATGAAGTAATATACTGTAAATATGATACACATATGAAAGGCCCTGCGTGTGGTAATCATATGCTTGTTTTGAGGATGAACATATGAGAATCATATGAAACTATGTTTATCTATTTGTCATTGTTATACTCAGGTAAAATTACAATTTCAATAAATAATACAAGGATAAATATTAATTGAAATCGATTTCAAATTCCAATATACAATTATTGACTATTGGTAGGTCTTCTCGTGACTATACAGACCTGGTCAGGTATTGGTTGACCAATGCTGAAGGCTGAGGTTAACAAATACCTGACCAGGTCTGTATAGTCATGCGTAGACCGAATTCAAAAATCATTAACCGTTTTATTAAATGATCAGGAATTTTACACTTTTGACACTTTCAATCTTGTCTCCATCAAATAAAAACACTCATAATATAATAGTCAAGGCTTATCTAATTAACAACTAGTAGTTAAAAATTGCAATATTATGAAACAATAAATACTCAACCATTTACTTTCAAAAGCGTTTAATCTCCTTGGAGCTGGCGTCTGACATGTTTACATTCATTACGTTCATGCTTTGAAACACGCAATCTGATTGGTCGAAAAAATTGTAAGCAAATCTATGGTTGGTCAAGAGAGAAAACCCAAATAATGTTAGGTGAACTCACTCTGAGGTACATCTCAGGAAAAGGCGTCTAGACCAATCAGAGAGCACCAAAATTTGATTGCAGAGATTTGAATTATTGTTTCTAAAGGGAACAACAAATTTTATTAAATGATCAGGAATTTTCGTGCTCTCTGATTGGTCTAGAAGCCTTTTCCTGTGATGTACCTCAGAGTGAGATCACCTCATATGAGGTTTATTCAGTTTTTCCCTCTTGACCAACCATAGATTTGCTTACAGCTTTTTAATTCGACCAATCAGATTGCATGTTTCAAAGTATGTTTCGGCGTGAATGTAAACATGTCAGACGCCATTACCAAGGGGATTACCCAGATAGCAAGCTGACGTTGGGCCGATGTTGGCATGTGGTTGGTATCGGCTACATATCGCGGTTGGCAGAAAATATTGGGCCAATATCGGTCCGACATTGTCATTACAACAGTCGGGGTATTGACATTGTTCCAACATCGGTCCGATATTGTAATTACAACAGTTGGTGTATTGACATTGTACCAACATCGGTCCGACATTGTAATTACAACAGTTGGTTTACATTGTTCCAACGTCGGGCCAACATTAATCGTTCTCAAAAAAATTTTTTTTACTTACCTGAAAAAGTTGACACGCAAAAGGATGGGGGTGGTGGTGGCCAACTTTTTTAAAGGCCAACTTCCTTTCACTTCCAATTTTTTTGCTATTTTTCCTTGTTTTCACTATAGGCCCAGCCCCCCCCCCCCCCCCCCTCCGTTGCTACGTGCCTGAACATTGTTATTTTTAATGTTGAAGTATGGACATCTTTGTAATGTTTAGGACATTGTTGAACCAATGTTGCTATGTAAACTTATGTTGAAACGTTTAAAAAAATATTTATTATTTTATTTTTTATTTCTTTGTTTATTTATTCATTTCTAGTTATTTAACCCTTACAAAGATTTTCAAAACTATGGAATATAACTTAGATTTTTCTCTAAAACTGTCGACTAATAGTACAATTACGTCGGGATCGAAGTCGGGCTCGATAAGCAATTAATTTAAACAACACACCGCGCCGAAATTTAAATTTTTGGTGGGTTACACGCAGCCATGTTGATGTTGTACAGAAGGAAAGTTCGGAAGAGAGTGTGGCGAAAAAGGAGAATCATGACTAGCTTTGGATGGAATTTCTGTTTGACAGAAGATGAAGACATTTTACGACCCGGTACTGCGGTAGGTACAATGTACAAAATATTTTAACATTTGTCCTTGAATGAATAATTGCTTTTGCTACTGTTCCTTAGTCAGGACACTACACATAAAACGCCTTGCAGTGAAATCGTTTTAGCAAGCGCTATTTCAATTTTATTATAATAATTTAGCACTTCTAAACATCTCTCATAAAGATGGATTTCAACCCGAATTTCCTCGTTTGGGATCGATTCAGGAATTTTAGTGTTCCTCTCTTCAACATTTACAGAGTATGTTGTACAATGTAATAAAATATATTTATTTTTAAATGCATGTTCAAGATCATTTTCAGCACTTATTTTGATTATGTATTTAATAGTTGCATGCAGTGGACTGTGCCTGAGACGATTCCCATAGCGCCGGCGAATAGTCAGCTTGTATAAATGGTGAGAACCAGCTCAAATTTTCATTTAACACAAATAACCTAATATTGTTTTTATTAACTTGTATCTTTTAGCATAGAACTATAAAAATATTGCAGACTTCGATGTACCAAGTAAACAAGAGGTTTATATTCTTAATTTCCTTATCCTAAAAATACATAACAATGGATTCTGACAGGTAATCTAAACATGCTATAAATTAGCACAGCTATGCATATTAATTATTTTATATTAAATACTTATGCATTTATAAATTATTAAGAATAGCTATCATTTTGACATATTCTATGATGCACAATTATACATGCATTATTTACAGGAATCTGAATGCTCACAAGAAGGACAAATGCAGTATGGAAATTAACACAAAGGTATTCTAAGATTTCTTAAATTTTCTGATTAGAGCTATAAAATCACATGAATTGAAATACATGTATCTTATAATTCTTATTCAATGTAAGTCAGGCATAGGGCTTTAGCTCTAGCCCTAACCTTTTCCTTTAGCTCACTTGAGCCATTTTAAGTCCAAAGTTAAACAAAGCGAGTTTTCTCATCAGTGTCTAGTTTTCGTCTGTCATCTGTAAACTTCTCAAATTTTAACATTTATCGAAATTAATCCTAAGAACCAAAAAAAGACACTGCAAGATTGAATTTCTATTTTACACTAAATGTATACTGAACTGTCAGGTTGAAGTAACCAATTGTCTTGACAGTCTTGTACTCTTGTAGAGCCTTACTTTATTATTTGTTATATATTTATATGTTTATAATATATAAATGCGATTGATAATCGATGATAATACATCCTGATGGTCATTTTTTCTTTCAGAAATTGTGCCAGAAAAGTAAGTGTCTACGGGAACAATCAACATCAACTTTCTGAGCCTTCCTACTTAAACTAAAGTGAATTCATTTGTGAATTTCATGGGATATCAGTGAGGAAGTGATTCAAGCAGACACTTGAGAAATTTCGGATCTAATTATAAATTAGGATCTTTGGCATATTCGGGGAAAATAGCGTGACTGTGTTGATTTTATGGGATCTTTTTATTAATATAGTTGTAGTGGATATTTTGTCTTAATACATGTGTTTGTCACTCTAGTCTAGTCATTAACTTTGTACGGTAAATGTTCAAGGGCAACTGGAAGTTCATTGCAACTGCATACCCCGTTGAGGTTTCAATGACCTCTCCCAATGTTATTACAATGTAAGTCAAATGTCATATTTTAAAAAAAGAAATAGTTTGTTTTATTACAAAGAAATGTTGAGAAATACTTAGAAAAAAATATGCTTACATTGTACATCTATAAGTGTATATGTAATATTTGTTTGAAAACACATTGTGAAAGAAACAATTTTTTTTAATTTTGAAAATATAGATTTGATCTATGATAAATTGAACATTGAATTGAATTGAATTCAGTTTTCATTGTATCTTCCTGGAATTTCTTAGATTTCAATGGAATTCCATAGATTTCTAAATATCCTTGTGCACAGATATGTTGGGCCAACATAAGAATTATCATTGTTTGAAATTGGGCCAACGTAAGGCCTACATGAAGATGCACAAATACGTTGGGCCTACATTGGACCAACATCAGAATTATCATTGTATAACATTGGGACAACGTAGCGCCAACATGTCAGTGCAATGTTGCAACGATGAGCAAAATTACATTGGCCCAATATACATTTTCCGACGTTGGTCCAATGTAGGAAAATGATATTGGGCCAATGTAATTTTTTTCCAACGTTGCGCCGACATGTCGGCGCAACGTTGGCCCAATGTCATAGAACGATAATTCTGACGTTACAGACGTTGGGCCAACATTGACAACAGTGGCCCAACGTTGGACCAACGTCAGAATTATCGTTCTATGACATTGGGCCAACGTTGCGCCAACATGTCGGCGCAACGTTGCGCCGATGAGCAAAATTACATTGGCCCAATATCATTTTCCGACATTGGACCAACGTAACTTACAACGGTGGCCCAACATTGGGCCAACGTAAGCTTGCTATCTGGGTAAACACTTTTGAAAGTAAATGATTGAGTATTTATTGTTTAATAATATTGTTTTTAATTTTGAACTACTATTTGTTAAGCTGTTGAAGTATATCAACATGTAGAAAGTGTTTGAATTCGGTCTAATCGAGATTATATGGACCTGGTCAGGTATTGGTTAACCTCGGCCTTCGGCCTCGGTCAACCTATTCCTGACCGGTTCCGTATAGTCACGAGTAAACCTCATCAAACGTCAGTAATTGTATATTGTAGACGATGCAAGGCGGCATATTACGCAAAATCCATAAACATGATAAATACTCTGTGCAGTGCAATTTTACGAGGGATGTTCTACTTTTACATTCTTGTTCAACACGTAAGTGATATAATTCTACCAAAGTATCAAATTCGGAAATAAATAATCGCGTCCTTATTATCATGGATTGGGCACTCGGTAACATATATTATCAAGGTATATTGTATCACAATGATTTGAATGGAATCTTATCTGATCTGCCATAGAGTTCTGCTCAAAAGTGTTTATTAACTACTTGAATATATTATTTGCTTGGTGAATAAGAGCATATCAACTCAAACTTAAATACTTGAGCTCTTGAATTTCAATTACAGTTGTATTTATTGAAATATGATATAGTGCCCTGAAATTATCGTGGTATCTTTTCTTCGATGTTAAAGATTGTCTAAACAGAGGGGTTGGGGGGAGGGGGTATCTGTAACTATAAAAAGAGATGGAACAGCATACCCCCGGTATAACGTGTAAAATCACTCCCTTTTTGTTGGTGCATATAAATGCATATAAAGAATCCCATATGTCTTAAAATAAATCGGCGTATTTCTGCGCAACTATATATATTTTTACAAATCCAACATTTGTTGTCCTTTGATATATCTACATTAGTATACACTGTACATGATATGATGGGATAGAGACACTCTCCATCATTAATCATAACATTAACCTACAGACAAAGTATTTCAAATCCGATTATCTTTCCATTTTTTTCATACTGGATACATTCATACTAAAACACATCTCATTTCCTACAATACACAATGTACCTTTTATTTGTCCCTCTTCAGAAGTTTAAGGGCCTAACATGATACAGTCCTTTTGTCAAATGAAACGTACTACATGTAGCTGGTACATTGTATATAAGAATACACGAATCGACAAATACATAAAGCCCCCTCCCCTACACCCTGCTAAGAACTGGAAACAGGCCAGGGGTTTGAAAAATAAGTGAAGTTTACTTTTATGGTGGCATATTTCTGTCTCATGCAAGATAAATTATATTAACATGCAACATAATTATGTATACATGCTCCTCAATTATGTCAGCATACAAAATGATTATCATGTTAGCTACTGGGCCCCGTTTTACAAAAGAACTTACGACTAAGACAAAAATACTTCTCATTTGATTGTAACATTCTGCAAAATTAAAGATTGAGTTCAATATTGCTATCATAAAAACATCTTCCTACATTCCTTTAAAAAGTTAAAAAAAAATCAATTTAATGCAAATTTGAAAATTATAAGCAGAATAAGTTTTGATTTTACTCGTTCTTTTGTAAAAGTTAAAAGCGCCCCAGATTTTCGTGAATCTAATTTTCATGCTGGTAAATTTAATTATCTACTTACGCCGTGACATTTCATACAAGTAAGATGCAACAGGAATATGCTGACATGAGACTACTTATATTAACATGTGGGACATGCAGCTTATATGTATGTCAATATGTCAGATAATTATGTTAACATGCGAGTAAACTATGTCAACGTGCGAGAAACCGGTATATATACATGCCAATAATTATCTTGCATGTGGACATAAAAATTTCGTATGTTAGAACATAACATAACGAGTACATAACTCACATGTTTACATAAATAAGTCGCATGATAACTTAATTATCTTGCAAGTCGCATGACAACATAATTATCTTGCATCTTATGTGTATGATCGATGTAAGATAATGGCGTTAATAAGTAAATTTGCCAATGTTAAAATTATATTCTCTCATGAGATTGGTAACTTGCATGTTAACATAAAATTGCATGAGGACATATTTCTGTTTCATGTCGACATTTTTTTTTTTTTGCATGTGACATAATTTCTTGCATGTACATGTAGGGGACAGAAATTTGCCACTATAACTTTTTATGTAACTTTTCGCAAGGTCAATCGAAAGAAAATGTATCAAATCATTTTTCAGTACTCACCGTTGAGAAAACGTTTATAACGACAAGAATGCCAATAATGAAAGGGACCGATCCCGCCATGTCGGATCTTCCAGAGTCCAGGAAGGAGAAAGTGGCAAAATCTAACAGGAAGGTGATGTAAGTTTCACAGACAAACGCTTGGACGTCCGTGACATTTGTACCCGGCAGGATCACACCAAAACTCCCGTGTTGCATTTCGACAGGAGATACCAACGTTATAATGCCCATACCAGCAATAGCACCAAGAACTTGGAAACAAACATAAAATAGGAATCTACACAGAGTTATCCCCCCTGTTACCAGGAAGCCAATACTAATGGCGGGATTTACATGACCTCCACTGACGGTGCTCAATGTCGTTATTATGACAGCGATGAAGAATCCTGTTTCTATGGAAATATGGACACTGCTTGGTTTTGTTCCCAAAGTTTCGTGATACAACCCGGCACCTACACCATACAAAACCAGAAACATCACTCCAAGGAATTCAGCCAGTGACGCTCTCAAAAGATCGAGCGACCTTAAATCGTCAAGTTCCCGTTCCCAAAAAGATTTCTTCTTCTCCATGAGGGCCTTCTTCTTTTCTTCGGACATTTTACTGTAAAATATAAAAACTTAAAAAAAAATTCACAGTCCTACTTTTAAGCAACCTTTCACCTGTAAACATTCAGGATAACAAGTATCTCTCTATAGAAGACTTAACTGCTTTGAAATAAATCTAGGCTAACCTTAGATATAGGGCTGAGACTCAGATAACAATTTTGGTTAAAATGAATGACTTAGTTTTCATAAAGTGGTATCTATATCCAGTAAATTGTCCTCTCGGTTACCAAAAGAATGACAAGTGGAAACAGAATATAAACAACCCAGTGTTTGGGTCCATTTCTCTATATATTCACTGTTTTCATTCTTTTGAATTGCACGAGCAACCGACTGCTGAGTTAATACTAAGCTTTGCTTTATCTTTTTTCGCAATCTGTGATCATCACCCTTGTCCACTGAAGGAAAGGACGATACAACTTGTTCATGAAATTATTTAAAGAAAATGTTTGTTATACAACTAAAAAATTAAAATTTATTTTCTGCATATAAATACCCCTTAATATTAATCCTTGAATGGCTGTAACATGATCTTGTATGGTGTATTTAAACAGTGTCTGAATGTCGACTGAAATAACCCCGTTCTTGTATGTATATACAGATTGAATTTATGCAAGAACATGTATTAACTTTCAATTTTTATGAATAAATTAATTCATAAGATAATCCGCTACAAAACAGTAGTAGAAAGAGCGCTTTACAAACCCGATATTTTCAGTACCGTGTACCTGCCACTGACGACGGATCGTCAGGTCTTTGCCCCTTTCACTACATTTTCCGGACACATTACTAAGGTTTTAACATTAGTCCTTGATATCGAGTGTCTGACATAACCTTCCTATTTGACTGACTGTTATTTTTACGTCTTCACAACGAATTTGTTTCATTAAATCCCTTCATGGTTAAAGAGAAAACTTCTTCGATGTCTCATGCTGAAAATTTGTGTTTACTATTTAAATATACTAGTACTATTGCTTAAACTCGCAAGTAAATACCCCAAATGTCATGCATTGTTCGTTGCCCAACTTGGCCTAAATAAATAGTGTCTTATCGCAGTAGAGTCCCTTTTCAGTTTTTATGAATTGAGATAAAAATAAGAGCTATCTTTAAAGTTCGGTAAAAAAAAAACAACTAGAACTAAATGTTGTCTTTAAATTCAACAAGGCACTTGGTCGCATATATTTTTCATCTAACGGACATGACTACAATTTATACCACTTTTGGGAATTCTACTTCCACTCCTCTCTCTCTCTCTCTCTCTCTCTCTCTCTCTCAAATATATACAATATTTATATTGCAAAGTTCTTTATTTGAAATTATAGGAATTTTGTTAAATTAGAAGACTTTCTCATCAAAGTGGTCTTTTTTCATAAGAAATCAATATCTAATTACCTTTGCAGCTTGACCATGATTTCTCTTCGAGACACCGAAAACAGGACACAGTAGGGCTACAATCAATAAAAAACATGCTCATTTTTAATAAAGAAAAACTTTCTTGTCTTGTCACATGTTTGGGCATAAATTTCAATTATTTTCTCCATATAAAATCAAATCTAAAATTGATTTTTTGTTGCTTACTTAAATAAAATTACTAAATAAAAGGGACTTGCGTCAGTTCTTCGTTCACTTAAAAAAGGGGGGAGGGGTCAGATGAGCCATACACTGTACATGTACGTATGTCTGTTGTCCAATTTTTTTTTCAATAATTGTAACTTAATGTAACTTTATTAAAATTAATTTAATTGATTTATTAATTCATGTTACATAAAAAAATATATACATATATCAAGTATAAAAAATCAGAGGTGTTTCTTTTTTTATTTTATGAGAGAGAGAGAGAGAGAGAGAGAGAGAGAGAGAGAGAGAGAGAGAGAGAGAGAGAGAGAGTAAAGGTGAGTAAAGGTAAGAGCTAGGAGAACAGCAGGTTCCACTTGTTCCACTGGGTATCAAACTTCTCCTTTTTACCATTCTTATAAGATTGTTTTGTTTCATAATGAAATTGCATTTGTGAATATTGTATTGTTTGAATTAATTGGTTTCAGTGTGCGACTTGTAGTATAAATTATAATATAATGTTTCAGCAAAGAAGAATAGCATTTTGAATATCAATATTTTCATAAAAAAATTCTAAAAGAAAAATTTTCTTAGTAACACTAATAGTTAGACAAGCCAACCTTCAAGTAAACGAACAAATTATTGTAGAGAAAATTGTGTTTTATTACATTCACATAGAAGGTGTTCTTTTGTTTCCTCCTGAGATCAGTATGACAAAAACTACGCATGTAGAGCTTACATTATTTTTTTTTTAGTTTTGAATAAAAATGAATTTGTTGCTAAGATTTTGTTTATAATCCTACAATGAAACAATTGGAGTTTTACAGTCTTTTGTTACCATATAGGGTGTTATGTGACTTTTTTTAATTTCTGAATTCCAACCTCTATAAAAGCTCACTCCAATACGCGAGTTTCGAGATTGTAACTCTCCTGCGATAGAGGCGCAAAAGTATCCATTTCAGCATGGAGGTGGGACAGTTTGTTACACAGGTACTTGTGGACAGGACCCCCCCCCCCCCAATATAAAGTATCCATTTCAGCATGGAGGTGGGACAGTTTGTTAATGTATACAACGTGTACCTGTGGTTTGTTAATGTATATACAAACGTGCATAAATAATTAACGATGTTTATGGCTCTTAAAATTTATTTAATGTTATAAAAAGATAAAAATGTTAAACAGTGATGCATTTTATGATTTTATCAAGCTCAACTGTCTATATTTACATATCTACTTTCAATTAAAGGGTACTTGAAAACGAAATAAACGTCGTGGTCTTTATCAAAAAGTAAAAGATTTTGTTGATTGTACAAACATTTTCTAAAAAGTTAGTGGGTTTTTGTAAATATACACAGTTGAGCCCGAAAATCATAAAATGCATCACTGCTTAACATTTTTATCTTTCTATACCATTAAATAAATTTTGAAAGCCATAAACATCGTTCATTTATTTATGCACGTTTGTATACATAAAGTTGATAAACCAATTGTCCCACCTCCATGCTGAAAAGGATACTTTTTGCGCCTCTATCGTAGGAGAGTTACAATCTCAAAACGCGCGTAATTAACTGTTGCAACAGAAGAATTTCACATTTAACTTTTTTTTTTTTACATTTCATTACTATGAAAACTTTTGATATAATTAACGGATAAGTGATTTTTTAAACACTGTTTTCCTTACCAGAATTTTTCATCCACGCCTTTATAGCATATTGTATTCTTTAAAAAAAAATTATTAATCATGTATTTGGATAGGGGTTGCAGAAATACTCATAAGTGAGGAGTGAACTGTCCTCATTAAAATGATTTATGATATCATTATGTTGTCTTATATTACTGTCAAACAGTTTTAACTAGTGAAATCAGACAGCCATAATACATGTAACCACCCCCCACCCCCGTGTCATTTATAAAAAAAAAAATAAGATACTTGTGGAACTAATAAACCGTCTGATTTTTCTTTTTAAAAATATACAAACAGTATTTTTATCTATATGTTTAATAACTATTTTTTTTAGATACATATTTTCTCAAGAAACGTATCGATCGCTCAAACAGAGTTGTGCCATTTCCAGTAAAAACTCGGGCTCGGGATTCTGGAAATTAGAAACAATATGGCGCTTTCCATGAAAATATTTTCTCTTCGAATTAGCCGTCAAATTCGACGGTATTTTAATACAGCATCAACATGCGACAATGGAAAGAGTGTTAGGGTGAGGTTTGCACCGAGCCCCACAGGATATATGCATTTAGGTTCTCTAAGAACAGCGTTATACAATTACTTGTTTGCCAAGTCAAATGGTGGTGTGTTTGTTTTGAGGATAGAGGATACGGATCAGGTGGGATATATCATATATGAAGAAAAGTCAAAGTTTAGTCCAGGAAGTGTCATCCAATTTTAGATAAAAATATTCAACGGAGCAATTGAAAAAAATATATATATATTTCAACATGTTCAACGTAACCACTCATCTTTATTTCGACGTATCTTTTACTTACTTGCATCTTATTGAGAAGTCGATACCTTGATTAAATCGTCCATCAACTTCTCAATTTTAGAGAATAATCTTTTACCTGTCATTCATACATTTAGAGGACATTTTGGCTATTTTTTTTAATTTACAGACAAGAATTGTAGATGGTGCTATTGAGAAGATCATAAAGACTTTACAATGGGCCAAGCTTGAACCGGATGAAGGTAAATAGTGAAAGTTTTTTTCTTCTTCCACTAATGTGCCTGGCACCAATATTGGGCATTATCACTTATGTAAAAGACTAAAATCATGCTGAGGAAGACCTCGTTAAAAATCTGGATAAAAATTAAAATCGACAATATTTACAAAATGTGTAGGAGTAGTTTTACCAGAATCCTTATTATCAACCTCATGACACACTTTGATGCACATCTCTTTTAGTGACTTCCTCTAAAAAAGCTGTTTTGTGCCTGATCATTCCTCTAAAAATTTCAAGAAACGAAAGGCAGAGATTCCTTTAAATCTTATTATTTTTTTAAATATGTAAAATTAATGAGTTTAGAATGTAATACTTTGTAAATAGGATAATTAATTATGAACATGTATGGAAGTATATTTTTGTCTTTTTCCTAACAATAATTAAGTAACCCTTAAAGTTTAAAATAGCATCAACATTGCTCTTGCCTTATGGACTGAAGTGTCACTAAATATCTCTCATACCATGTTCCTGTAAAATTTTCAAATACTAAAGTTTTATTTGAATATGAATTAAAGATTACATACCTGGTTAGTCTTATTATGCAGTAGACACAACTCACCATATATTATAAAATTACTTGTTCACTTTAACCCCTCTGGCCTTCCCATTATGATTAACTAATGAACTGTCTGTTGTCAGGTCCTTCTATTGGTGGAGACTATGGACCCTACATCCAGTCACAAAGAACAGAGTTGTACACCAATTGTTTGGATAAATTAATTAAGGTACTGCAGTCAGAGTACATGTTTATTACATGTATAACAATGATGTATTTACATATGTACGGCTTTGTTACATATAGATTTTTAATATTTTGTTGTAAGGCAAACGCTTACACAGGGATTGACTCCAATGTAAATCATACACATCGATGTATTTTGGATATTTCTGATAGAAAGGTTTTTTTTAATTTACATTAGTTTATAAAGAAGACAATGAATTGAACATTTCTGCCAAAAACGTGACATTGTTTTTGCAATAATGTTTCTGGATCATACCTTTATTTAGAAATCGGGTTCGTTATTCTGTTTTCTTTCGTTCACTCTCTGCCTGACAACTTATTATGAACTTAAGATACATTCTTACGAAATATATGTAATAGAATAGTTTATTTAATCACTTACAGAATATAAAGAACACCAGTTGTTCTTGGTAATGATGTATCTTGAT